GAGGCCCTGCTGGCACTGGGCACTGGGCACAAGGGATCGGGCCCCAGCGAGGGGCGGAGGGATCAGGGGGTGTTCAGGGGGGTTTTCTCCATAGGGACCAGGGAGGGACTTCAACTCTGCCTGGCAACACTGATTGACCACATACTGTGTGTGTGTGTGTGCGTGCGCGCGTGTGCATACATGTGGGTGCATGTGCACGTGCTGCGTGTATCTGTGCTGTGTGTGGTGTGTGCCGGTGTGTGGTGTGCACATTGCTGAAGGCCTGTGGGGTTGGAGCGGCACAGATCTGGGTCTGACTTCGGCGTGGCCAGGAGCACCTGTCTCGGCGGCCCGGCTGACAGGGGGACGCCCGTGGCCTGCCGCGGGAGGCTCTCCCGTCGTCACACTCAGCGTCCGTCAGGCACTCACACAGTGTGGACTGAGCACCCACTATGCGCCAGGCCCCGTTCTCAGTGCCGGGGACAAGGACCCCGCCTGGTGGATCGGACATTGCAGTCGGGTGTGATGGGGGACAGACACGAGGCGAAGTGGCCAGTGACTGGGGAGGGGGGGGGCGGCTCGGAGTCCTGAGCGACGTGGGTTGTGGGGCTGGGAGCACTGGGGGCCATGCTGTGCCTGGGAGGTGCCGGGGCCTCACGAGAAGATGTTTGAGGAAACGGGCAGGGAGGGTGAGCATGCAGGGGCACGGGCCAGCCTGGGGGACCCCTGGCAGAGGGGCCGTGAGCACCAGGCCGAGGGGCCTCTGGGAGGATGGGGACGTTTTCCCCCTTGAGCTGGGCGGCAGGAGAGGGTGCTGAGCACTCTTCTCTCGGGGACACAGCCCCTGGCTGAACCCCGCCGGCCACTTGGGGAGTCGGGGTTTTGCAGGCGGTAGAAGGTAAACGCAGGGCGATCCCGCCAGCCAGGTCTGCGGCAACAGCTCCTGGCGGGAGCTCACACTCAGGGGGACTGAGGCCTCAGGCCCCGCAGCCGAATGCGTTAGGAGGTTGGGGTCTGCATTTTGAACGTCAGCTGTGGTGGTGGCCACTTCCTCTGTAACCATCGTCATATATACCCTCTCGGGCTGGCCTCCCAGGCCTCCCCCAGGCACCAGCACCCCCTTTGCCCTGGGGGCACAGCTAGGCGAGATGTGGTGGGAGTCCTCCCTCTTCTCGGCCTCAGCTTCCCCTGCCTGTACCCCAGGGCGAGCAGGCTCTGGGGTCTCCCCGTGGTAGATGCCCATGGGGCCCTGGCAAGTGATGGTGATGGCTTTTCTGCCTCGACTCCACCATGAGCTGTGAGACCGCAGGCGAGTCGCTCAGCCTCTCTGAACCTCGGTTTCCTGATCTTAAAGTGGGGGTGAGCCTGGTCCCTTCTGCTCAGGATTGTGGGTGGGAAGAATGAGCCCCTGTGTGATGTGAAGCTCTGAACAGAAAGGGGGACAGTGGGGACATATGTGTGGCATGAGACTCATGCAAAGTCCGTGAGCCACCAGGCCACCGGGAGAGAGCAGTGAGCCAGATGGTGAAGGCCACTGCCCCCATCGGCTCGCTCTCCGGCCGCTGGCACAGGCCCCGGTGAGCGAGGTGAGAGGCCCAAAGCTGCTCTCCCTCCGCGGGCCCCGGTCCTCCCCTGGCGGGAGCCCCGTGTGATTCTCTGCGTGTTTTGCACATAAAAAAGCTCCTAATCCTAAACCGATCCCTTCATCCGGGCTCAGCCGGAGACACAGGACCGGGGCCCGGTGACCTGTGGTCCCCCGAGCGCTGGCACAGATGCGGGTTGGACGCAGCTCCCTGCCTGGGGTCCGCCCGGGAAGAGGGGGTCCTGACCTTCCAGGCGGCCGCTCCTCAGAGGGCGAGAGACAGCAGACCCAGGACACCCCACAGGCCGCCAGGCAGAAGGGGTTCGCTGGAAATCGAGAGGTTCCTGGACAAGGAGGGGGATCATTGTTTTTTGTTGTTTTAAATATATTTTTATTGATTTCAGAGAGAAAGGGAGAGGGGGAGAGAGATAAAAACATCAACGATGAGAGAGAATCACTGATCGGCTGCCTCCTGCACGCCCCACACTGGGGATCGAGCCCGCCCCCTTGACCAGAATCGAACCTGGGACCCTTTGGTCCGCAGGCTGACGCTCTAGCCACTGGGCCACACCAGCCGGGGCGAGGGAATCCCTGTGTGTGGGGAAATGGACCCTCTGACTTCAGTCCACACGACACCAGGTGGCCAGTGTCCTCTCTGGGTACAGCGATGCCGGCCCCACGGCCCGAGGCTGCCAGGGTTTCCGTGGTGAACTCTCGCCCGCCAGGCAGGAGCTGTGCCGCCGGAAGGCCGTTCCCGGCCGGCCAGGTGCAGGGGCTGTGGGCCCGGCTCCCTCACCAACGGGCTGCGCACCTCGGGCAGGTCCCTCTCCCTCGGAGTCTGAGCCTCGCTGTCCCGCTGGAGCCAGGAGCCCGAGAGAGACAGTGCTGCCCCCGCGTCCTGCGGGGGGACACTAGGCAGGAGCAACCCCGTCTTGGACTCACTTGCGGGCTCGACCCGGTTCCCTAGGATTGTGGAGGTTAAGCTGTTTTGAGTGGAAGCAACATACAGGTCATTTTTGCTTTGCAGCCTAAGGCACAAGCGCGGTCCTCGCCCTCACGACGCGCAGTGCATTCTGGCCGCCGCTATTCCAGTCCATCTGATTTTTAAAGAAATCGATGCTTGTGACACGCTCATCGCTGCACAGGGAGAGCGGGGGGGGGGGGGGGGGGGGGGGACGTTGGGGGCGATGAGACTGCCGGAGGCCTCGGCCGTGCTGGTGACCACAGTGACCTACAGGGTGCTGACATTCACGGGCTTGTGCACGGAGGGAAAGTCAATTTCACTGCACGTCCATTTACAAAGCAAAGTTTTAGGACGAGAAAGGAAGTGATGGTTGCAACCACTGAATGGGTTTCATGGCCACTGAGGGGTCCCCCAGGCCGCAGGCAAAGCCTTGCGCCTCGGCCTCTGCTCAGACGGTGGCCACGGGAGCGGAGGGCGCTTCCCTTCCTGACTCCTCTCTCCTTCCTGCAGTCACCACCTGCCTCGGAGCGTCTTCCTGGTTGGAACCAGGTAAGGAAGAGCCGCTGGGGCCTGGGCGGCGGGGGAGGGGAGCAGGGCTGTGCGTCTATCCGACTGTCGGGGGTCCTGCCAATTAAGAAATCAGCACCTCCGCCAGGGTGAACCCCCCCCAGAGAATGAGAGAGAGAGAGAGAGTGAGAGAGAGAGGGTCCCCTACACACACACACACACACACACACGTAACATGCCCACCTGCACACGGATGCCCCCATGGCTATAACGCAGCACACACATGCTCGTTCTCAGGATAATTATTATCATGACTCACTCACGTGCACAGAAAACATACCCATCATGCACCTTGCGAGGTCCCGTTTCCCGCCCAGTCCTGCCAGCTGCTTCCTGGTCTAAGACATTTGCCACTGAGGCTGCAGGGCCCGGCTACCCCAGACTGTACAGCGCGCTGACTGTCCTGCCTCTAGTTCTGGAGGCTGGTGTTTCCCACACAGGGGAGGCAACCGCCCCCCACCTGCTGGAGACGGACCGTGTACCCGGGCCTAGCAAAGGCTCTGAGAAGGCCTGCAGCAAAGAACCCGCTTGAACTTTTTTTTTTTTAACTCACCAGTTGCCAGGCTCGTGTCCCTCAGGCCTCTCTCTTGCGCATTTCCTGAGGTAACATCATGTTGAATGCGCTTTAGGAGAAATGTGGCCGGAGGGAGCCACCGTGGGAACAGGGGGGCCACAGGAGCCTGGGTGGGCCCTGGACTGGGCCCTGGAAGCACGCAATGGCCTCCTAGCTCCAAGCTCCAGCAAGTTGCTTGGCCTCTCTGAGCCCCAGGTTCCCCACCTGCAAAACGGGGGGAGAATCCCCTCCCTGGTCCGGCCTCAGGGGGCCAGCGCGCTGTGCCGTGCCGACATCAGCCGTGGGACGAGCCCCCTGAGCCTCTAATGAGCCATGTGGCCTGGACCAGCCTCAGCCCCGTGCTCTGGGGCCCAGGGGCCCTCACCTATGGGCAGAGAAAGGCAGCCCGACCAGCAATTCCCGGCCAGGGAGAGATCACACGGACGACCTTTTCACGTGTAAGAAAACATTCTTGAACAGGCGATGCAGCCGCGTGGCTCATACCCTCACACCTAGGAGAGAGCGACAGGGAAGAACCTCCTCTCCCGCTCGGACCCCGTCCGCCCACTCTTCCCACCCTCACGCCCGAGCAGGCCCCACGCGCATTCCTTCCTTGCCAAGCTTTCCCGAGTCTCGTTACGCAAATGCAAGCGTGTGTCCTCACTGTGTCCAGAAACCACACAAGCGTGTCCCTGCCTATGACCCGGCAGCTGCGCGTCCAGCTGTTCCCCGGGAGAAGGGGGACCTGTGCCCACAAAGAGACAAGATGGGTACAGGACGCTCACAATAGCCCAAACCTGGAGGCCACCCAAATGGCAAAGGGCTACGCAAGCTGTGGCCTCGCCACACGGCGCCCAATGCCAAGGACGAGCCAGCTACACGCAGCGGCACCTCAGATGCCGAGTGAGGAAGACAGGCGGGAAAGGCCAGAGGACACACATGCCAATGACCCCACTTCTGACATTTTAGAACCGGCCGGGCTGATCGTTAGTGACTGAAAGCGGGTCGGTGGTTGCCCGGGGCTGAGCTGGCCATGGAAATGCTCTATTCTAGGGCGGGTGGTGACGGGCACGTACGCATTTGCCTAACACCACGGAGCAAGCGCCCTTTCCAATGAGTGCGTTTCACGGTATGTAAGTCGCCCCTCAATAAAATTGATTTAAAAGCAAGAGAGAGAGAGAGAGAGAGAGAGAGAGAGAAGCGGGCGCCCGGCCTCTCTCGGGTCCGTGGAGACAGGCATTCCCAGAGCGGGCGATTCCCAGCCTGGCCGCCCAGGACCCTGCCCACTGGTCCAAGTCACCCTTGGCTCAGAGGTCTGCACCCCACCCTCCCGGACCGGCCTCAGCCTGAGTTGGGGAGTCCCTGCAGTGCCCCAAAGGACGCGCTCACAGGAGCCCGGCAGGCAGCCCGTGGGGCAGGAGCCTGGCTGGGTGGGGGAGCCCGGGCGGAGAGTGGGACAGTGGGGCAGTGAGGGGCCCTTCCCAGACTGACCCGCCCCCATCTCTTTGACCCCTAGGGTTCCAGGTGAACCTCCGGGGCTCCAGCTCGCAGTGCCAGGGCCAGATAGAGGTCCTCTTAGATGGCCGGTGGCACACAGTGGACAGCCGGAGCTGGGGCCGGAGCCCCGGCCACCAGTGGCACCCCAGCGTGGCCTCCCCGCTCTGCCAGAAAATGAAGTGCAGGGAAGCCTTGCTCCTCGGCCAGGTCCCTTCCTTCAGCAGCCCCCGGAACCACATCACCTGCCAGGGAATGCTGGGGTCCTTCTCCCACTGCAACGCCAGCGACGCCCGCCAGGCGGAGCCCCTGAGCCTGATCTGCTTAGGTGGGTTCCCTTGGCCTGGGCACCACCCTGCGGAGGCTGCCCAGGGCCTGTGATCTGGGGCCCCCAACAAGCGGGTGGAAGGGGGTCCGGTGGGGACCTGGAAGGAGGTCCGGTGGGTACCTGGAAGGGGAAGGCGAGGGATTCTGGCTCCTGTCCAATAGGATGGAAAAGGTTGAGGACTTGCTAACTTCATTGTCTCCTGCTAACCTCCATTTTCCCAACTGTAAAATGGGCTGGTACCGCCCACTCACGGGAGACTTAGAGACTACGTGTGGGGCAGGTGGTATTCACATCATGAGTTCCAGGTCCTTCTCACCACTGCCTGCTGCCCTCAGCGCCCCCACACCCCCTCTTCCCTCCTCCCAGAACTTTCTCCCTCCGGGACCCCTTGCCCCTCCATCACCAGGTGTCTCATTGCAGAACCACTGAAGACGACCCCTCCTCCCACAAGGCCTCTGCCCACAACCACTCCAGAGCCCGCAGGTAAGAGGTTCTGAGGCCCCTGGGAGAAGAGTGTCGGATTTAGCGATTAAACACAGGAGGGGAGGGGGGAGGCCCAGTTAGGTGCGACCTCTGGCGGACAGGAAGCGTTCCAGTGGAATATTCGGGACCTCACCACTTCCCAGGGCCATCGGCCAGTCATTCATTTGTCCCTGTGTTGGAGCCAAGGATCCAGGAGCAAGGAGGGCCCACTGCTGGAGGCTGTGGGCGCTCAGACGCACCCCTCTCCCCTCCCCCAGCTCCTCCCCGGCTGCGGCTGCTGCCCGGGCCCGGGGGCCTGCG